GGCCTGGAGACTTCAATAAGTACTGTTATATTTGAACGTGAACTTTGACTCCAACCAGCCCGAGAGTCCCCTTTTGTTCCCAGTACAGAACAGACCAGGGAAAGACCAAAAGCATAGCTGAAATACATCTTTTTTCTTGTGGTTTAGGGATCAGCCAGTTGGAACCAAAGAGATGTTTTCTTAGGGTCGCAGAAAAGTTTGCAAAACTATCGTCTTGTTTTTGGCACTCAAATATAGATTAGAGATATATCATTAGGATTTTTAAGTTGGTGGGTTACAAGGCAAAAGACTATTATTTAACAGGACATTCTAGCAAACACATTCTTCCCTCAACCATTTTGTGGAGGGTTGCTTTGTGTTTGGATTATTTTATCTTCTACTGCACAAATGTCCTGTAATTACTCATAATTTGAAAACTTCTCTGTGGTGCTGGCCATTACCAAGCTCATGAATTACTTCAGTCAGGTAAACTCCTTGCAGATGGTGAACAGCCACACACAATAGCAAACCACTGTCATCCAAAGCAAAAGCTTTTTCATTCTGAAACTCAAGGTCAGCCAACCACAAAGGCTTCTTCCTTGAGCTGCTAGACCATAGGGAAATGTGGAGAAGGGTTTTGTAATGTGCCCCCAGAGTCTCCCAAAGAACCATGGGACCATTTCTCTTTGAGGAATGTGACAAGGCATGTCTAAATTGTCAGCATTGAAGCATTCAGTCAAAAAGAATAGCAGTGTACTGAACCTTAATGTCTTCTGAGTTCTTGATTCTTTTCCTATGGATATGCCAAACCACTAAATAGTTAAAACACATCAAATCATCTCAAAATGACCAAAACAGAATTGTTTTTCTAAAAATCAAAATGCTCCTAAGTCAGTAAACCTCATGGTCATATTCCATTCTAGAAAACTTCTGATTAGGCTAAAAATTAAGAAAACAGATTTGCAACGTGAAGGACTTCACATGCTTTCTTCCTTTGTAGACAGGCTCAGAGTAAGAACTGATGGGGAGAAAGGATACAGGTTACGGAAATGAAAATCACAGCAACAACACCAGAAATTACTCCATCCTCAGCCACATGTTCTGAATGCCCAACATTTGGACTGAGTTTTTGCAACTCATAGAACTCTACCAGGTAGAAACTAGAAGAAAGAAGGCTGTAGCAGCCCTGGCACATTTGAAGGTCATAAGCTTCTCTTGGGATTAGTCACTGCCTCACTGGAGCACATCGAAAGAGTGGTCCAAGAGACCTTTGGGGTAAAGCATCCCCAAATCTTTGGAATTCAAAATGTTAGCAAATAGTCCTTGAGTTTGTTAATACTAAGCCAACTATAGCTCCAACACCAAAGAGCATTTTAAGTAGCATCCCCAGGAGAGTCCAGTATGTGGCCAGAATTGAGAGCCACTGTTGTAGAGAACTGGGGGAGGGCAGTAGAAAGTGGGAGCCGGGGGTGGGGCAAGCATGGTGGTGCAGGTCTGTAATCTCAGCTACTCAGGAGGAAGAGATAGGAGAATCTTAGTCCAACACCAGTGGGCAAAAGCAAGACCCTACCTTAAAAAAAATAACTAAAACTAAAAGAACTGGGGTGTGACTGAAGTGGTAGAGGCTTGCCCAGCAAGTGCAAGGCCCTGAGTTCAATCCCCAGTACCGCTAAAAAATTAAAACATTTAAAAAGCTAAAGTGGGAGGCCGGGAGGCAGAGTCTTGCAGAGTCTTCCAGTTAGAACATGAGGGTTTAGGGGACACTGGTTGATGGAGTCAGCAGGTTTAAGTAGCTACAGTCAATGTCCATCACTCACCATAAATTACCAGAAGAGACAGTTCCCTTCAACTACATGTTAACTGGATTTTCAACAATTTGCCAAGAATCTAAACTTCTTGGCCACACTGACAAAAATACCATTGAGACTAAAGATAATGAAGGGGAGGCTGAGGCAATGGTCAGAAAGCCATTCAAACAGCTTATCCCCAGGGACCGGAGAAGTTCTTTCACTCCCTTCAGCTCTCCCAGGCTCCAAGCAGGATGGACAAGGGTTCTGGGGTGATGGGTCCTGAAAGTGAGGATGGCATAGATTGGGGAAGGAGCCTCTGAGGGTGCCATGAAAGTGATGGCCAGACAGGAAGTCCACAGCAGCAGGCAGACTCCAGGTCCATCCTCTCTGCCTTGCATCCTTCATCCCAGGGGCACTAGATCAGGGCCAGTGTGGAATCCTCAAACGCGTGGTTCTTAAGCATGTCTTCAGAGCCACCTGCAGGGCTTGTTAAACCACACATTGTCCTGCTTCTCTCCCAGAGCTTCTGACTCAGTACATCTGTGGTGCAACCTAACTGCATTTTTAACGAGTTCCAAGGTTCTGCAGTGCTTCTGCGAACCACGCAGAACCAGTGCTTTGAATCATGAGACCAGGTCAGACCAGGCTCTGGAAGAGCTCCAGCAGATTGTGCTGTGATTGCAGTGTCCTGTAAGAAGGAACTGTCTTGAGAAGAGCTGGGATTTCTTTGCACACATTCATCAAAAGTGTGAGCACCATCTGATTTTTTTTTCTTACATGACTATTCCAGGAGAACAGATGAGGTTATTAAAATAGATATTCATCTGGTTTGTTTGTCCTTGGTGAATTTACATTCAAAATTGGTAATATTTAAATAGAATTTAATTTTAGAGACCCAACCTTCAATAGCACAAGACTAAAAACGGTATCTGTGAAAATCATTTAGAATCTCAGTATTCTGGACAGGGAATTTCTCTCTCCAGTGGCAATGAAAGAAGGCCAAAGGCATAGGCAGTGCTGGGCATGGTCCCAAATATAGCAATGAGTCGACTTGAGATTGGCAGAAGACCCTGGAAACCACAGGGCTAGGCCAGGGGTTACAGATATAGGGTCGTGGAGCCTGTTGAGGTTGTCTACAATCAATCTTCCAAGAGGGCAGTCTGCCGAGGAGTTGTGGAATTTTTTGTTTATGTTGACCTTCTCTCATTCTAGTCATCTAGATCAGAAGACATCCTGATTTATAGTAAAACCATCCATGATATTTACAGAGAGAGTTATTCTTATTTCTTTGGTTGGTCCAGATTAAAAGTGAAAGACTTTTTATGCTTTGTAGGAAGCAGACAGGCGGACAGGCCACAGCAGTGAGATCTGGACAGTTCATTAAGACCACTAACGATGTCTATGGTCTGTCACATTCTGATGGACCCATGTTGGACCTCCACCCAGTTCTTGAACTTGGAGACTCTAAAGTGGCTTTCTTTGCCTTCTTCCCTATTGAACTTCTGTTCATCCTTAAGAACCCTGCTCAGATGTTGCTCCCTCATGAATGAGTCTCTGACTAGTCTGGACAGATAAAACTAATTTCTTGCCATGTTTCTTTCATTCACTTGTAATATACATCATTCTACTTGAGATATTGGTTCTTATGCTTGCCTCCCTTCACTTCTAGATTATTTGCTATAGGGAGTATTGTACCTTATTCAACTTTATGTTCCTAACACATATCATGTGTCTGGCCCATGCAGGGCTTGCAAATTTAAGCGTTTAATTAATGAAATAAGTGAATTCCAATGTTATTCATTCAGTAAGGATGCAGACTGGAAACCATGAACGGTCATAAAATCACAGGTGATCAGAGCCAGAGGGACCTCAGTCACCATCTGGGCCAGCCCCTCACCCAGTGGAGGAAGAATCATAGAGACACTTAAAGATGCCCAGTGAATTCTTACCCCAGAATCCAGGGGAACTGGATCAGGATACAGGTCTGTGATTTCTAGCTTTGTGACCTTGAGGTGTAGCCAAGTCTCCAGCTGAAGGTCTGTGGAATGGATGAGATCCGCTCCCATGACTGATAGGACCAGATAGTGCTGCTGTCTTACCTGGGAGACATGCCACCCTTCTTCTCCTGGGCTAAATCCAACCCTGCGAAAACCTGGAAATGTTCTTTGCCTCTGAATCTCACCTCTTAAATGAGTATTTGAGTAAAATTTTGCCTCTAGGCCTGAATCCCAGTTGAGCATTGCTTTACTTTCTGGGACAAAAAGACTATTTTGAGTGGGAGGAAAAAGGAATGGAAACACCTCGGTCCCAAATTTCATGATTTACAGTAGCATGGAAGCTACTCCATTGCCCTTCCTACTTCTCTAGTTTCCCAGTTCCTCTGCTGGCTGGGAATTCGGAGTCCATGAGGCCTCTCTGCCATTTGCTGCCACAGCCCAAGACAAGAGGAAGTTGAAGGAAGATAAGGAGTGGGGGCCAAGACATGATAGGATAAACAAGACATGATTGGAAGATAGTTTTTTGGAGATGGGAAAGAGAATACAGACAGGAAGGACAAAGATGTCATTCTAGAACTTTCTCTACAACAAATCTTATGACAGACATAGTCATCCATTCATTCATTCATAATGCATTCTATGTCTGTCTCCTGCTTAAAGCCCCCACTCACTCACTTCTTGTTGCCCTGAGGATCCAACCATAGCTCCTGGCTATGTCCCTGTAGACCTGGCTCTTCCCACCTCTCCGACTCATTTCCTGAGTCTCTTCCCTTCAGCTACATGGACTTATCTCTACTTTACACTTGCTGTTCCTTCTGCCTTGAATGCTGTCTCCCCCATTCCTCCTCATCCTTCCAGTCTCAGCTTGAAGGCCACTTCTTTGGGGAACTCTTCTCAGTGGCCCACCTGCCTCTCTCATCCTGCCTCACTCTTTTCCTTCATGGCATGTACAAAATCATCTGAAGATATTTATTTACATAAGATCATAAGCTCCACCAGAGTAGAGACGTTGTCTGTCTTATTCACTGTTGTGTCCCCAGCACCAAGAATAGTGACTGGCACACAATAGGTGCTCAGGAAATATTGTTGAATGGATGAATGACATGCCTACATACATCAGGCTTATAAAAGTGAGGGAAGGGAAGCTTCTAGAAACTATGAGCTAAAATTGAATGGACTTTTTCCTCCTCGTGTCATCTCCATAGCTTCTAGTTCCTGAAGTTCGTGCTCTGAGATGTGTGCCCTGGTTCTGCAAGAGTTCCGGGTTGGGTACCAAGTGTTCAGCCACTTCATCTGCCTCTACTGCTCACCTGTGTTTTTACCACAGGACTTGACTTGTCAGGACTTTTTCTTCTATAGTGTATCTTCTATAATGGTTCCGAGTTAAGTCTACTACACAGATGCATGTGGAATGGACAGGACAATTTGCATTTTGGTGCTAGATCAGGCATCTGCTGGAACAGGTCTCTGGCGTGCCCTAGAAGCACCTACACTAGATGTAGATCAACCATGGACTGTGTGTGTGAGGAAGCCAGGAACTTTGGCAGAGGGAGAGGTCACCAAGAGCTGCCCCTGGCAAGGTGGTAGGTGGACTTCAGCTCTTTTCGGAGCACTGATGCTGATAAAATGGAACTTGGGGAGGTAGAAATTGTCCCATGGGTACATACCTCCCCCTGCGTAGGGCACAGATGTCCGTCCACCTGCTGAGGACTGTGATGAGGGGCCCACCATCTAACGCCAGCTCTCCTTCTTCACAGAGTTCTGGCCTGTGGTCGGGCAGTCCAAGGGGCTGGATGGCATGCTGTTCCCAAGTTTGGCTCAGCGTCTGGGCCCAATAACAGCGTTGCCAAGGGAGCAGCTTTCTGTCCTGGCCACTCTGAGGTAAGTGCCTGCCTTGCCAAGGTTTCTAGCTGTGGAACTGCTGGGGTGGAAGGAGTAGAGGCCCCAAGTGACAGAACAGCTGGACGTGAGCCACACACATGCTGAGGGAGGGATGTTAGACCTCGTGGATGGGCAGGGGCCTGGTGTGGCTCTTAGTGATGCTGCAACTATGGCTCTTCTAGCTATCCAGAAAGGACATCCCATGTGCCCTCAGGCTAGCCCCATGGTTTCCAGAGAGACATCGAGGGTCACAGAACACAAAGCCCCAAATAGACAGTGTCAGTCAAACCCTGCACACAATGCCTTGGGCTGTGCGAGCAGGAGAACTCGTGGACAGAAGGTTTGTGGTCCCCTCCATGCCCTTGGCCAGTGGAATGGAAGTGGCTTAGTGTTCCAGATCTGAACACTGGCAGGCCTGGATTTGAGTTCCACCTTTACCAGGTGTGGCCCAGAACCAAGTTGCTTAAGCTTACTGTGTCTTTACTTCTTCATCTGTAAAATGGGAATACTACGGCCTATCTCCCAGGTTTCTTGTCATGGTTAATTAGACAATCATGCCCAAAAAATGATAAGTATTAATTACTATTCACCCTATTCATTTAAGATGTGTCTCTAAGACCTTAGATGGGTCAAATCTGTCCTGCAGGACACCCATGGGTACCCGGACCTGCTGGCACTCTCTGGCTGCATATTTGTATCGTGGGCATTATATGTGCTTTTTGATCAAGTCTATAAGATGCTTAGAATGCTGAGATGCCAGATATAAAAACAATTAACTAACTTAATTTCCTTTGTGTCTGGATTTTTGGTACCAAGAAGGCAAAAGCCACAATCTGAGCAGAGGTTTCATTTTGACGTTGAAGGCTGAGTCAGCACCCCAGGACCTGTGGATGACAGAGTGCATACAGTATCGGGCCCCTCTGCTCTAACAAGTGTAGAGGCCAAGCAGCAGAGGAGGCACCACAGCACAACCCCCCACTACAGCACAGCTGCAGTCTCATGACCCCAAGTCACTCTGCCTCTCCAAGGCTGGCCTTTGAAAAGTACAGATTGGTTCAGTGGCTCTAGTCCCCAGACCAGCAGCATCAGTGTCACCTGAGAACTTATTAAAAATAGAAGTTCTCCTGCCACCCCAAAACTTCCAGTCAAAAATTTGGTTCGAAGCCAGCCTGGGCAAATAGTTTGTGGACCCTAACTAAAAAAAAAAAAATCCATCACAAAAAAGGGCTGGTGGAGTAGCTCAAGGTGTAGGTTCTGAGTTCAAGTCCCACTACCTCAAAAAAAAAAGACTGTGTTAAAAATAAATCAATAAATAGGTGACATGTGGTGACTCATGCCTGTAATCCCGGCTACTGAGGACATGGAGATCAGCAGGATTGCAGTCCCAGATTAGCCCTGGCAAAAATTTAGTGAGACCCCCATCTGGCCAGTGGTGCAGCGTGTTCTCCCATCTACTTGAGAGGCATAAATAAGAGGATCACTATCCAGGCTGGCCCAGGCAAAAATGCAAGGCCTACTCAAAAAATAACTAATGCAAAGAGGGCTGGTGGAATGGCTTAAGTGGTAGAGCACCTGCCTAGCACGCGCAAAGCCCTGAGTTCAAACCCCAAAACACCTTTTACTAAAAAGCCCAAGAGATCTGTTGGAGATATTTTCAAACCTTAATGAAACAATATGTGCACAATCAAGACTCCATCGCCCTTAAAGGACATCAGGTGCCAGGTGGTACCTTGACAGTGAATTTGGAAGTAACGTAAGACATTAAGAGCTTCGTAAAGTCAGTTAAGTAGAATAAGCAGATGCTAGGCGAAGTGGAAAACTTTATAATTCCTTAAAAAAAAAAATTGTCAGAGTTGAAAGGTACTTTCAACGTCATCACTCAGATGGAGAAATTAAGGAACTGGGAAGAAACAGACACTTGGTTCTCAGAGGTGGAGCTACCTGGGAGTGTCAGGTCATACACAGGTAGCAAAAACAAACGGGACACTTTCTAGTCTCGGGGAACGGGGAACGCCCCCTCTAGAAGAGAGGAGAAGGATGGAGAGGGAAAGAGTTGGTTTCTCTGGTATTAGAAAAGTTCCCCAGGGGAGGTAGCTTTGAAGTTGGCTATTGAAAGACAATAGGCAGGATTCCAGCTGGAGAGGTGGAGAGCAGAAAAGGGTCAGGGAGGGCCAGGGGGAGCGTGCCTAGAGGCAGAGCATGAAGCAAGGGCAAAGGTGGGAAAGCCCAGGTCAGGAACTGTGCCAGGCACTCCTGTGCCAGGAATGCAAGCTATGAGAGGGGAGGGAAGGAGGCAGGGCCAGATGCCAGCCTGGACAGTTCCTTGAGCTCCCTAGTCAAGGGCCCACCACTGGCTCCTTTGAGAAGGGTGAGGTGAGCTGAGCTACGCTTGAGAAGCTGCGTGGGGAAGTCAGCTATGAGGAGGTATTGAAAGAAGAGAAGCAAAGGTTTAGGACATCAGGTGGTGCACAGGCCATGGTCAGACCAAGGGGCACATAGGTGAGGCTACAGAAGGAAGTGACTCTTTCAACTAGTGACGCTAGTTAGAGGTCAGGGAGGAAAGGGCAACACTCAGGGATGGGCTGAATTTGGAGCTGGTAGATGAAGGTATAATGTTCCAGGTATAGGAAAAGGAAAATCAGGAGGATGGGGAAAAATGATCAGAAGAAACAGTAGCTATGGAAATGCTTTGTAAATTATGAAGTGGTCCAAAATGGGTCTGCTGCTAACCTGGTGGAGTAGCTCAAGTGGTAGAGTGCTTGCCTAGCAAGCCTGAGGCCCTGAGTTCAAATCCCAGTTCAAAAAAATAAAACCCACCAAAATGGATCTGCTGCTGTTGAATACAGAGGAAGGAAGAAGCAGGGGGCAGTGATAGGAGGATTTTTGGGTATGACGATTTTGTTTTGGGTAGCTTGCATTTAAAATGCCAATAGCCATCATGAATTGCCCTCAGGAAGCAAGAGGCCCCAAACTGGCTTCAAAGGAGCCATGGGCTAGAGGGCCCGGTACAGGTTTCAGCTGCACAGAAAGTTCAGGAGACTCCTCAGAAGAGGATGAGCTGGGCAGAATGAGGCTGTGGGGAGCAAAGAGTAGGATGTGCCTCACTTTCATCGAAACCCTACACTCAAGTCAAATTTTCTTCATTTCTCCATCCAAAGTCTAACAGGTGTTACTAATTTGGATATAAGAGGATGGATTTCAGTTTTGTTTCTTCTCTCTTTATTCACCTGATGAAAGATATCGTGTACTAAGAAGAAAGAAATGAAACAAGAAAGAAGCAAAAGTAGCTTGAATCATCTGCCAACTGAATAATCAATTCTGTAAGAGTTGGCTGAACATTTATCAGCAAGACCCTCAGCCAACAGATCTGGGGATGGTCAAAGCCCAGATATGCCACCTCCTCCTTGCACGGCAAACAACCAGAGCAAACTGGAGCAAACAAAAACATTCTTCAAAGCAACAAAGAGAAAAGAATGTAGTGGTTTCCTTCTTGGTAGCTCCCCAAAGAGCTGTCTATTTTTGACTGAATAAAGGCACAGTATTGAGTAGAATTTGCTGGATTAAAGCTGACCAGGAAAGTAGTCCTGGACACAGTCAAAAAGAAACCATAGCCAGGTGCTGGTGGCCACACCTGTAATCCTAGCTTCAAGGGAGGTGGAGATTGGGAGGATCCCTGTTTAATGGCAGTCTGGGCAAAAAGTTAGCAAGACCCCATCTCAACCAATAGTTGAACACGGTGGTACACATCTGTCATTCCAGCTACGCAGGAGCCTGAAAGCAGGAAGCTTGCAGTTCCAGATCAGCTAGGGCAGTGAAGTTCACAAGACCCCCATCTCAGCAGAAAAAGGCTGGGCATAGTAATGCATGTCTGTCATGCCAGCTGTGGTTGGAAGTATAAAATAGAAGAATTGTACTCCAGGCTGGCTTGGGCAAAAAGTGAGACCCTATCCAGACCCAAAATAACCAGAGCAAAAAGGATTGGAGGCACGACTCAAAGAGTAGAGTGCCTGCCTAGCAAGTGAGAAGCCCTTAGTTCAAACTCCAGTACTGCCAAAGAAAGAAAAAAGAAACCATAACTACTGTGGAGGAAACAGAGGGTGAGCTTCTCTGGCCACCCCCAGTCACCGTCCTTAACTCTCCTTATATTTCTCGAAGACTACTACATGTCAGGCACTGGCCATGGAAGGATTAAAATGCAAATCACATAGCTCCCCATGCTCTCTCAGGAGACATTCTGACTTGTGAACGGAGAAGGTTATGGATAGGTTGCCGGGAAGACAAGGAGGTACACTAAGGGATGGAGTAACCAACCCAGGTGGATTTGACAGGGCTCTTCTCTCCAGGACCTCACACCCACAGCCAGCAAGGAGTCCGGCCCAGATACTTGCTTTGAGAGAAGTCAGAGAGGGGTAGCAAAGAGCTATGCGGAACTGTAGATGATGGGTACTCAGAGAGTAAATTGCTAGGTAGCAAAAGAAATGAAGAAGAGTCATTGGCCACAGGGAGAGTGAAGTGACTCAGAATGAATCCAGTTTTGGTAAGCATACACTTAATCCTAACAACCACCCTGGGAAAATAATATTTATGCCTTCCCCTTATCAGTGAGGAAGCCACAGCTCAGTGGGATTAAGCGGCTTTCTCCTGTTAACAAGAATTTGAGCAGAATATCCTGACAAAGTTTTCTAACCCCAGATCCAATGCAGAGCTCTTTTCGCTAGAATGATTTAGTAGTTAAGAAAACACAGGCACTGATAGGCTGTTTTCTAGAATTCAGGATGGAAAAAGATCACTTTTGATTGGTGTGACTGGGGAAGACTTCAAGAAGTAGGTGGTATTTGTACCAGGCTGGAAAAAGTGGGTAGGGGGCAAAGCACCTGCAAGAACAGGAGGGAGAGGTGGGAGAAAGCAGAATTGGAAGTTTGGAGAACACTGTATAGGGATGCTCTAACAGAGGAGGTGCCATTTGCATTTGCAGGTATGACTTGGAGCCCAGGAGGAGCAGGTGAAAGTCCCTAGAGCAGGATTTCACGATTACTTGACCAAGGGGATCGGGAGTGTCCACTGGTGACCAATAGCTGTGTAGCATAGGGCCTTCTTAGGGATAGCTAGATCGATGCCATTTGGTCTATACTCACATAAGAACCAATAGTAAAAAGAAAAGGAATGCTTAAGAAGAAAGAAAAAGGGAGGGAAGATGGGTGAAAGGGCAGACTGGCTTAGTAAGGAGTCAATTTTGGATTCTATCTCTGGCCTAGTTGTTGGTGTGACATTAAGCCTTTTAGCTGATTGTGAATCGGTTTCCTTATATGTGAGTTCTAACCGGATTTCATGAACTGCAAGCTGGGAATGAACACATGAAAAATGTGAAAACCTCACCTGCTTAAGAGAAGTGTTTACAGAAGCATATTTGTACTTGTGGGGTGGTGGCTGAAGAGGTGTGCTGTGGTGGCAAGTCTTTTGCCAAACATGAAGCTTGGTGGGCTCACGAGACTGAGCTGATCCAGTGCTGCCATCTGAAGGCATGTATTCATGGCCTGGGCTTCAGAATGTGACCTCAGCAGCCTTCCCAGGAAAGCCACATCCAAGACACCAGGAGCCATGTCAGACTCATCCCCTTGCCTCCCTGGCACACGTGGGCACCCATACTGCCCACGCTTGCTGCTTCAAGATGGCTGTCAAAGAGATCAAAGGATTCTGAGAGTGATGCCCCATGATCACACCAAGCTACTGGGCAGGATTTCATGAGCTCTGTCCCTTCCAAAGATTGGGTAGCCACACATCCAGCTTTGTCTGTGTCAGTCTGGTTACGCCCGCCATCGATGTTAATTCTGGCCAGCATCTCTTTCCACTCCCAAAAGTGCCCTGTTTGAAGGATAAATTTAGGGTCTTCTTGTCCACAGACCCCTGGCATCCTCTCAGGAACTCACCTCCAAGGTCCCTCAGCATGTGCCTTTTAGCAGCTCCCAGCTGTCTCTCCAGGGAATAAACCTGGTGTCTTTTCCATTCCAGGTGCAGAGCGTAAGATCCATGTTGCCCTACACTCTGATCACAGTGTTTTTGATCGGCATCCAAGCAGAACCATACCCAGCAAGCAATGTCCCAGCAGGAGACGCCGTCCCCCAAGCCCACTGGACTAAACTTCAGCACTCACTCGACACAGCCCTCCGCAGATCCCGCAGCGCCCCTGCAGCGCCGATAGCCGCCCGGGTGGCAGGGCAGACCCGCAACATCACTGTGGACCCCAGACTGTTTAAGAAGCGACGACTGCGGTCACCCCGCGTTCTGTTTAGCACCCAGCCCCACCCATCTCCACGGACACTCAGGACCTGGACGTGGACTTCCAGGTCGATGGCGCTGCCTCCCTCAACAGGACTCACAGGAGCAAGCGGTCATCCACCCACCCTGTCTTCCACATGGGGGAGTTCTCTGTGTGTGACAGTGTCAGCGTGTGGGTTGGGGACAAGACCACCGCCACGGACATCAAGGGCAAGGAGGTGACGGTGCTGGGAGAGGTGAACATTAACAACAGTGTATTCAAACAGTACTTTTTTGAGACCAAGTGCAGGGACCCCAACCCTGTGGAGAGTGGGTGCCGGGGCATTGACTCCAAGCACTGGAACTCATATTGCACCACGACCCACACCTTTGTCAAGGCGCTGACCACCGATGACAAACAGGCTGCCTGGCGGTTCATCCGGATTGACACAGCCTGCGTGTGTGTGCTCAGCAGAAAGACCGCCAGGCGAGGCTGACCTGCCAAAGCCCCCCTCCCACCTGCCCCTCCACACTCTCCTGGGCCCCTCCCTACCTCAGCCTGTAAATTATTTTAAATTATAAGGACTGCATGGTAATTTATAGTTTATACAGTTTTAAAAATCATTATTTATTAAATTTTTGAAGCATCCCTATGTGTTGACACTTCAGTCCTTTTTCTCTGTAAGATGGCCTGCAGGTCTTCAGAGGCTGCACAGTGAATCGTCCCCAGCAACCCTGGGCTCCCTGGAGCACCCACCTAATAACACACCACCACCACCACCAAGCCCCAAAGCCAGCACTGCAGCTGTAGGGTAAGCTAGCTGGTTACCCTACACCAGGCGTCATGGGAAGAGACGCCTATTCTACCTAATCCTTGGATTACTTGCCCCATGCCCTGGATCTTTGAGCTTTGTTTGCTCCGCTTGGGGAAGGAAAGCAGTGGCGGATTGTCAGATCAGAAGGCAGGTCACCAGTTGGTGCCCCCAACTTCAGAGAAGTCCAGGCAGGTCCTGGGAGACTCACGGTAGAGAAAGGAAGCTTGCACCAAAGACCTTCCTTTTAAGGAGAGATCTGCCATCTGGAAGAGAAGTAACAAAATAATCTCCTGGGACCTGTCACGGTAGATCTGATTTCATGTTAAGATTGCCTTAGCACTGGTGGCCTCATCTCCACTTACCCCTCATGGCTTCCTGCAGAAAGACTTCATTACCCCAAGAAAACGTCAGGGCCTCCAACACTCTTGCCACCCACAGAGCCCATCAGCAACTTCCAGAGGCCCCAGCTCCCAACCAGGGATGCCAGAGACCTGTCAGGAAAGAACTTTTGAAAACATTTATATGGATATATAAATAAATACATATTTTTATATATAATATATATTTTGCAGTACTGGAGTTTGAACTTAAGGCCTAGAACTCCACCAACTTGGCCCCAGCCCCAACCCCAGTCCTTTGCTTTTAATTTCGTTTTTCAGGTAAGGTCACAAGCATTTGCCTGGGCTGGTCTCTGCTCAGGAGACCTGCAATCCTCCTACTTCCACTTCCCAAGTATCCGGGATTACAGGCGTATACCTCCATGCTGGGTCTTGAAAACTTTTTTTATTCTTAAGTGAATGATTTCCATAACTAGCCAAAGGTGTCTAGGGGCCATGAGACCTGTAAACAAAAGGCTGGAGAGGAGAGAAAAAAAAAAAAAAACCAAAGCCAGATGGAGTGAGAACCAACACAAATAAACCCTAGAAGATTTGGGGGAGAGGGGAACCAAGACAGGAGAGGATAATGACTTCTGCTCCTCCCAACAGCAGAAGGAAACAGATGCAAAGAGGTGTGAGGGCAAGGCAGGAAGAGGAAGGTGTCCACTCACCTTTACTGGACCTTCTGCCTCCAAGACAGCCTGCATCCGTGGGTAGTGTTTTTTTTGGGGGGGAGTGTTTTTGGGGTTTCTTAACATGCTCATGAGCACTGTCTCCAGAGCAGCTTAGAGAGATAAAGGTGACAGAGAGACAGCAGGATCCACCCTTGAGCAGGGATCGACCCAGCTTCAAGCTGCCACTATCCCCTGCCAAGTTCTTTTTGTATTTTCCCTCAAGCCACAATTTCTCCCCGAGATGGAACACTTACATTACATGGAAATTTTATTCTGCAGTGCATCCCCTCTCCCCACCCTCTCCAAGGATGAGATGCCTTCTTTGGTTTTAAGAAACCAGGCCCAAATTGACCGTCCTCTAAAAAAGCAAATGGCCGTATTCATTTCTTCTGCAACTCTTACCGTCCTGTCCCACCCCCACCCCTGTCCAAATGGGCAAATTAGAAACACAGGGAGCTTTGCCATGAAGACCGTTTGATTAGGGTAAAAGCATGATTCAATGTGCTCTATTTTTTTCTATCAAAGCTACTGCAATAGGAATAAAGATTTATGTTCAAGAAACACCAACCAGAACATTCTGTGCTGAGATACTTGGTCTGATAATGGCCTGGAGAAGGGAGCCCTACTACTGACTTGGGTCTGTAGGTTTTGCCGGGCTCCAATGCCAAGGCTTCAGCATCCCAGGCCTTGCCCATGAGCAATCCTGGAGCCCTTTCTCTCAGGACCGGGCAGCCCTGTTGGGTCCTGGACTGGGGACAACAATGGTGAGGAAGGTGCTCCAGAAGTTCTCAGGAAGGACAGTTCTGCTCCTGAGCGGTCACCCCAGCAAAGCCAGACCTGAAGCAGACTGCAAAACTCTTGGGGCATTTGCAAAATGCCTGAGGCTTCCCTGGCCTGCTGAGAGGGAAAGCTTGCAACTCCATCTGTGGGGAATGGAGGCTGAGGGGCCTCTTTTCCCTGTGCACTGCTCTCTTGCCCCAGGCTGCTAAAAGGAATCCCTTCCAGTACCTCAGTTCCTTCCCCCGAAGGCAACCCCCGCTCCAGGCCCATGCGTGGAGCCCAGCGTGGGAGCCAGGGTTTGCACACAGCATGAAGGGTACCAGTCTGGCTGACCCAAGTGGGAGCCATCCAAAAACAACCCATGCTTGGTGGTTCCTGCAGCTTGAACTGTGCCCCCCACATGGAGTGGGGGTGGGAGGGACTGGGGCTGCAGACCCACCCCTGGCCAGCCAGGTCACCAAGGCCCAGCCACTTGAGATCCTGAACAAGCCAGCTCCAAACCTCCCATGACACTCTTCTGAGTTGCAGCTGCTGCTCACCCAGTCTTTCCCTCCACATGCCTCCCTCGGACTGTCCTGCCTGGGATCCCCCAAAAGCCCAGAAGGTGAGAATGAGGCCTCTCCTCTCTGACAGAAACTTCCTCCACCAGAAGGTGTCCTTCCAGCATGCCAAAAAACACTGCTACACACCCTGCTGGTCCTCAAACCCAGCTTCCTAGTCAGGCTCTTGCAGCCTCCCTGGGACAAAGCTCCTAGTTCCTGGATCCCACAGAAAGGTGAGACTGACTCCAGGTCACAGTCTGTCCCCTTACTTCCCGTCCCCCAGCCAGAGGAGCACCTCCTTATAGCTACTTTCTTCCCTCACAGGGAGCCTGTGGGGTACGGATTTTCATCAACACCAACCAAATGGTTAATTCTGTTCCTGTGCACACAGGAATGTCTTCCTTTAAGTCCTGTACATGTGGTGGGTGGTTTCTCCTAGGCCTGAGTAGGAGGCAGAGGCAGGGTCTGTCCCCACCTGGGTTACATGTTCTTTGCTGCTGGAAGAAAAGATACAGTAGACAAGGAAGCAGAAGCAAGTGCACCCGCAGGCTCGCAGGAGCACAGACTTAACTGCCTTCCTTCTACAGGCTGGAATGGAACAGTGGGAGGCATGGGCCACTCAGAGTCAAAATCCACACCGACTTTGGTGGTAAGGGAACAGCCAGTGTGATGGTGTCAGCAGAGCTGAGTCCCAGGCCCAGCCCCTCACCCTCACCCATTTCTATCTGTGAAGCTGGCAAGCCAAAGCTCTCTGAGCCCAGCTGTGCAGCTGAGAAATGAAAATAATCATGCCTGTCACCCAGGGTTGTGTGCACGAACCCAAACCATGTATTTGAAAACAGTTAAGTCCTATGCAAGGGTCAGGCAAAGTAATATATTCCGAACTTAACAATGCCGTGGTTGATTTAGGAGAGTTTTGTGGGTGCTCACTAACTATTTAGTTGTTGGCATCAGAAGTGTGGAGTAGCCAAGTGCACAGTGGGGGTAATGGTGAAGGGTCATAGCAAGAACAGCAGCTCTTTAGTTCCAGATCCCATCCCAGAAGTTTCTACTGTAGCAATTAAGAGAGCATGGGCTTTGGAGTCACCCAAGCAAGATGTTTCTCCTTAGGCTGTGCCTCTTTAGTCAAGTTGCTTAACTTCTCTGAGTTTCAATTTCTGCCTCTGTGAAGTAAGGACAATTGCAATGCTTTGCTTCAAGGGCCCAGAGATGGTTAAATGAGATAATATACCTAAGTATATATAAGTGCCTAACACTTAAGAAACATATAATAAATTTTAGTTTTGAAAAGTAGAGTTGGCTGAGAACCCTAAAAGGATATTAGAATGGGTGGATCTGTTCTCCACAGGCAAGGAGGTTCATGAACTGGCAGTTTTATAACATGAGCATAGTTTCATTCCGTAACAAGCACTAGTGACCACTGTGTTTACTGAGTGCTTACTGGGTGCCAAGAGCAAGCCTCGGGGCTCCGAAACTAACGTCCACCTTAGGCAAGCCATCCAGCTGTGCTTTCTGCTCACGTACAGCCCTGCCAGGGAACTTCTTCTGGGCTCTCTGGGATGTTTACTCCCCAGCTCTTGGCACGTTTATAAACCATTGGCTCTGACTTTCCACGTGTCAAGCACGTGGGATGTATTTTGCTGCAGTTCCCTCGGGTCTGCAACCGAATAGCTCTGCCCTGCCCACTGTTGGCCTGGGCTGGTGGAGATGGCTCAGGAACCCAAGACTAAGAATAAGTTGGGCAGTCCTTCCCACCACAGCAGCCAGAGGAGTTTCCTCCAACCCAGGACTGCTCCCTAGCATCAACGATGAGGGTCCACCAGTGTCCCTTTAGCACCTGGACCCAATCTTGCAATGCAGCAGGTACTCAGTCAGCCTCTCCAGGCAGATAAGGCAAAATTGAGTTCCCATCTTTTTCTCCACAGTCACCAACCTCACCCCTGTCTCCTGTCCCCTGCAATAGATGAAGTAACGATTTGAGTGAAGACAAGGTCTTTTCTGAGACCACAGTGTGGGAGGCATCTGAGTCACTTTCAGAGATGGGTCATCATAAAGAAGGTGATGAGACTGCCAGGGGCAAAGCCTGGCCTCACCACAGGCTTAGCTGAGAGATTCTGGGCAAGTTACTGACCTCTCCACACTTCACTTCTCTTACAACCAAAATGACGAAGCTGATGGACGCTACTTTGCAAACATGTGTAGTGCTGGGCACATAAATTATTGCATATAAAGCGTGTAAGTATACACACAACTGCACATCTATGTAGATGATAGATAGGTAGATAGATAGATAGATAGATAGATGCATAATATGCAAATGAATATCCAGACACAGAGACTTGTG